TTTCATAGCACAGTCTCTGGCTGCCTCTAGTGCCTGGCTCTGGTAATACATGTGAAAATATTTTTTCTGTTTTTTTTCCCTTTTAGTATCTTTAATATTTTCAGGCCATGGATAAGTTAAACCAGTGATCGTGATCCTGTGAATATGAAGGTCCTACTGTACCTCTGACTCAAGGTTCTCTAACCTGTTGGGATCAGGCTTGGTGAAGATAACAAGGCGTGGGATGGTTTCCATCACCTCTGCCTCCTGGTCTGACAGACATGCTTGCTTTCCACACAGGTCTAAATTAAGAGCCCCAGCTGCTGATCAGGGTGGAGATACTGACCTTGTGAGGTAGTCCTGAGTCCATCATGTTTTTGTTTTGTTAAGAGGAATGTCTAAAAATATGTTCCACCTATATAAGTCTATTTTCCCTTCGCTGTCTTTGCTGCCGGTTGTGCATAAGATCAACGAAAGAAAAGAAGAGGTGAACATCTTTGAAGCTGAAAAATAAGAGCTTGGAAAAGTAAATTTCTGGACCACGATTCCCAGAATCTCTAGCTGGGCAGATTCTAGACACTGTGTCCAAAACGTGTACCTTTTCCAAATTCTGTTTTATAGAATTCTGTCCAGATGAATCCATAGTTTTTTGGTAGCATAAATATTTGACTGCTCTCAAAGACAAATCCACTCAATACAATTAACAGTTACCAAGAGGACACAACTCCCTTGTTACAGCAATTTCACTGGCTGCTGGTCTGTTTCCAGCCTAATTTACGTTGCTGGTTATTATGACCTATAAATGCTTATACAGTTTGGGTGCAGGCAATCTGAAGAACTGCATCTCCCCATATCAGCCTTCTTGGTTCCTATATTTTCAGAAAAGGCCTTTCCATGTTCCAGGACTCTCTCTGGCACATTTCATGGGAGCATGAGAGTGGGTTTTCTTGGTGGCTTATCCTAAGCTGTAGAACGCTCTTCCCTCAGAAGGTTAGGTTAGCCCCCTGTCTCTTGTCCTTCCAGCTCCAAAGACATTTCTTTTTAAACAGACTTCATAATTACATTACACACTTAAGCAGGAGTCTTCTGTGATTTTAAGTATGGCATTTAAAAGTATATCTTGGAAGCTTTTTCATAATTTTATATGATTATTTTTATACTATTCCTCGTTTAACTGGTTTTTAAATTGAATGATTTATTATATTTCTTTAACATTATGTGTATTTTAATTATTGTGAATTGCCTTGTGACCCTTTATGACAGAAACATAACAGAATTTTAAAAAAATCAGATTCCAAAATACTGAATAAATATAGCAATATCAATTAGTTGTTAATACATAGTTTTTCTCTGAACGCCTGATTAACAGTAGGCAGGAGCTTATAGTAGTATAGTGGTACTGAATCAGTTTGTATGTGAGAATAAGCAAATATTGTTGCTTTGGAATAAAAGCAGAAGCTTAAAATTTCTCAACAATTGGGTTTATCCTGGCATGAGTCTATAAAAAAAAACATTAAAAAAAAAAAACCTAAGAAGCCACCTTTTCTTTTTCTTCATTTTGCCATGGCAGTGTTCTTTTTGTCCTCCGCTTTTTTAATTTCCTGAATGCTCGGAATCCCAAATACATTATGTTCTTGTTGGCCATTTTCCCACTCAGGGGAAACATATAGTAGTGTGATCCAATAACTAAAAATTTCACCCTTTACATATTACGTGGTAGTTTTTTTAATACACCACTTACTTGCAGACTTTCCTCATACAATTAACATCATGTGCATTTAATTAAATGAACTTTCTATAAAATCTTTGATAACATTTTATTTAAATTATTTGTGAACATAACTGTTCAGATGTTATTTGCCGGTTCAAGGGTGATACAAACCAATACAATGAGTGAGAAGTAAGGTCCCGTGGCATGGCATGCTAACAAGAAAAGGTGTCTAAGAACTACATTCAAGAGTATTGAAGGAACTGGTTGAAAAACTCAAAACCACTGTCTATTATTTTCTTGACAATGTGGAAAGTGGGTGAAGTTCCAGATGGTTGGAGCAGGGCTAATGTTGTCTCTGTCTTCAAAAAGGGCAATAAAGGAAGAACCTGGGAACTACAGGTTCATCCTAACTTCCTAACTGACAGAGCAATAAAACAATGGAATCAATTACCTCAGGAGGTGCTCAGCTATCCAACATTGGACAGAAAGTCAGACAACCATGTGTCAGCTATACTTTAACTTAAGATTCCTGCATTGAGCAGAGAGTTAGGCTTGATGGCCTTATAGTATATGCCCCTTCGAACTCCATTATTCTATGATTATTCTATATGTGTTAAATTTTAGAAAAATCTTTCTCCTGTGTATAAGAAGACAGCATAATATTGTTTTAACTTCCTTGTCGTAACCAGCAATTTTTTAATTAAGTATCCATCATACCTAACATCTTAATCAAAAGAACAATTTAGAGATGGAAAACACACACACACACAAACACACACACACACACATGGGCAGAGGGAGGCTTTGCGTGGCTTGTGTTGGGGAACTACCAGGGAAATTTATTTAGAGCTCCAAATCATCAGTAGGCAGTGCCACATCCAGGACTGCCTCTCAATCTCTCCCTCTCCCACTTTCACCAGTCCACACCCATTCACACTCTTACCCATTTCTTCATTATCATTTGCTTTATCATCAGTCTCAGGCTGAAATACTTTATAATCTTTATTACCCATAAATGAACCTAAGCGATTTTAAAATTTAATGAACTGTGTAAATGACATATTTTCTGGGCTACTTCCCGAGTCAAGAAACAAAAGCAGACAAATACCTCTTCTTTTTTCTTCAGTGTTGCTTCTAATTCTTGTATTGTCTGATTTAACTCTGTTTTATGAGTGTGGACTGCATTTGCTTGACTACTCACACACTCCAGCTCAGTAACCTATAAAAGAAAAATAAATACAGATAGTAAATATACAATTAAAGGCACGAATGAAAAGAGTCTGCTTTTGTGAACATTTGTATGAAAACATCATTGCCTACTGAAATGCACTGAATTAGCTTTGCATGGTATTCTGATAAGACATGGTGAAACACTGTTTAATTAATGTAGCTGAATTTGACATTTCTAAACTTAGAAAGATTTGGTTCCACTAGGTGGAGGGAATGAATTAGAATGATGTGGGAGTCCTACAAAAGAAGACTGAGTAGATACTGCAAGGCAATGGCTTCTTTTAAACTGCCATAGGAAATTACTGTATTTGTTGTTTTTCGGTACCACCTTAAAATCAAAACACTTGGTTAACTATTGATCTCTGGAGAATCATTCCTTATGATTGCTTATGGTGAAAAAATTTAGGAAATATCACCAAACAAGCAATCCCAATGGAAAGTAATCAATCAATTATGACTGCAGCTTGTTCTTTGGTATCATCTCTAAATGTACAAAGGGTTAAAGGGACTCCCCAAAAGCCCTAGAAAAAAATGTAAGGGACAGTGGAGAAATTAATTTAATTTGCATTTTTAAATGATTTTACCTACTTACACTTTATGAATCAATACATGAACCAAAAGCCATTAATTATATTTCAATACTTACACTCTTACATGTTTTGCACTTCAGGCAAAATCCAAAGGAAAAAAAAGAACAACAACAACAAAAAAGGACAAAAAACCATGTGTCACCCATATTTTAATGTGAGCTTTTATGGATCAAGTCCATTTCTTCGGATCAATTGAATAAAATGAAACAGAGAATGAAATACAGAATCCACAATACCCCTAGAAGGCATATAATTATCAGAATAATTGCACATATGTGTAATGATACAGAAACATAGTGAAACAAATTGAGGTGTGTAAAAAAATTATAAATTAAATAATGAACTGAAAACCCCACCACTACTACCAAGGTCCATCGTTCCTATCACTTATCTGCTTATGGACAGTGTTCCTCCTCAACAGCTCATAAGGAATGGCCAATCCTTATGAATCATCCTAGTTAACAACGGTCCTTCCAAATGTTCATAGGCATGCCCAGCAGTTCCACATTCCTCAGGTGGACCCCAACTATGTTCAGCGCCAAACAAGTGCAGTAATGGTGCCTTCATTACTTCTTGTGCCATTCCTGGAATGGCCTGCCTCTCTATAAGATAGCAGGAATCAACTCTCCTTCATAATAGCTGTAGGAAGGCATTAAACAGAACTTTTCCCACCAAGGAAACCACAGTGTTAATACTGCACTCAGAGACAGCAAGGAAGAATCTGCTATTTTGCATAAGGAACTGCTGGGCTATGATCTCATTCCAATGCATTCCTATAAGAAAGCTTTCAGAAGGGAAAGTCATTCTAACTGAGGGATCATGTAATAGAAGATAGAGCAGAGAAGAGTTGATAGTGGGAATGTTAGGCTGTCAGCTTGAAACAAGCCCTCCCCCAGCAACGAATGACTTCTTAGGATGAGGGAACAGACCATCTCGAGTAGCTAACATTTTATAATAAGTACAACAGAGGAGTATTGTGTCCCATAGTGGAAAGAAATCTCTCCCCCCACCTTCATATTATACAAGGTTGTTTCAAGAGGAAGGAAAGGGGAAAATATACCTTATCCATTTCATTGAATCATAGAAAAGTGAAGTTGGAAGGGTCTTGCAAGGCCATCAAATCCAACCCCCTGCTCAATGCTGGAATACAATCAAAGCATATCTGCCAGGTGATGATCTTAAGTTTTTCCTGAACGCCTCCAGTGTTGGAGCATTCACCAACTCCCGAGGTAACTGGTTCCACTGTCATACTGCTTCTAACAGTTAGGACGTTTTTCCTGATATTCAACTAAAATCTGGCTTCCTTTAACGTGAGCCCATTGTTGCGTGTCCAGCACTCTGGGATGATCAAAAACAGATATTGCCCCTCCTCTGTATGACAGCCTTTTAAATATTTGCCTCAGTCTTCTTTTTTCTCAAGGCTAATCATGCCCAGTTCTTTCAGCCTTTCCTCATAAGGCCTGGTTTCCAGCTCCCTGATCATCCTTGTCGCCCTCCTCTGAACCTCTTTCAATATGTTAGCACTTCCTTCTTGAAGTGTGGTGTCCAGAACTGGACACAAGACTCAAGATGAGGCCTAACCAGAGCTGAACAGAGGAGGACTAGCACCTTGCGGGATTTGGAAACTACACGTCGATTTATGCAGTCTAAAATAGCATTTGCCTTTTTTGTAGCTACCTCACACGGTTGGTTCATATTTGGCTTGTGATCTACGACAATTCCAAGATCCTCCTTGCTCGTAGTTTTGCTGAGCCAAGTATCCCCCATCTTGTAACTGTGAAATTGGTTTCTTTTTACAAGGTGCAGTACTTTGCACTTCGTCGTCTAGTTGTTTAGTCGTGTCCGACTCTTCGTGACCCCATGGACCAGAGCACGCCAGGCCTTCCTATCTTCCACTGCCTCCCGTAGTTGTGTTAATTTCATGTTGGTTGCTTCGCAGACACTGTCCAGCCATCTCATCCTCTGTCGTCCCCTTCTCCTCTTGCCTTCACACTTTCCTAACATCAAGGTCTTTTCCAGGGAGTCTTCTCTTCTCATTAGATGGCCAAAGTATTGGAGCCTCAGCTTCAAGATCTGCCTCAGCTTCAGGATCTGAGCCTCAGCTTCAGGATCTGACTTTGCACTTATCCCTATTGAATTTCATTCTGTTGCTTTCAGCCCAGTGTTCCATCCTATCAAGGTCATTTTTATTTTGTTTCTGTTTTTGGTGGTATTACTGTAGCTATTTTGCCCAATTTGGTATCATCTGCAAATCTGACAAGCATTCCCTGTACTCCCTTATCCAAGTCATTAATAAAAAATATTGAAGAGCACTGGGCGCAGGATTAAGCCTTGGGGTACCCCACTAGTTACTTCCTCCCAGTTAGAGAAGGACCCATTAATCATCACCATCTGGGTATGATTCTGTAGCCAATTGTGTATCCACCTGACACTTGATCTGTCCAGCCCACACTTAGTTAGCTTGCTAATCAGGATATCATGGGGCACTTTGTCAAAAGCTTTGCTGAAGTTAAGATATACTACATCTACAGCATTCCCTCTGTCTATCTGGGAGGTGACCTGATCAAAAAACAAGATCAAATTAGTTTGGCAGGATTTGTTCTTGACAAATCCATGTTGACTTCTAGTTATGACTGTGTTGTTTGACTGCTTTATGATCTGTTCCAGAATTTTGCCTGGGATTGATGTCAGGCTGACTAGCCTGTAGTTCCCAGGTCCCCCCCCCCTTTTTTTTGCCCTTTCTGAAGATAGGGACAACACTGGCCCTCCTCCAATCCTCTGGCACCTTCCCCGTTTCCCATGATTTCAAGAAAACAATGGATAGCAGTTCTGAGAGTTCCTCAGCCAGTTCTTTCAGTACACTCGGATGCAGTTCATCCAGCCCTGGAGATTTGAACTTATTCAAAGTAGTGAGGTATTCCTTTACAGTATTTGTTTATCTATCTCCAGCTACAATCCTGTTGCCCTGGTTTAATGAACGAAAAGGAGTGCACAAATCAGTGGCTAAGGAGATAGAAAGAACACTTACCTGACAGTTAGCTAAGAATACATGGTGAGTGAGAGCAAAATTGATGGGTATGTGGGAGGCAGGGAGCATCAGAAATAACTTTTGCAGCTCATGTAAAACTGGGCAGTTTTTCTAGCATTTTCTACAGCTAGCAAAGCAAGATACAAGCTCTGAAGAAGCAAAGCTTTGTTGATGAAAAATACAGATCCTCTCTGGAGATAACCCTAGGGTCACCCCATGCCAGGCACTGGCTATATCCAGCACTGCACTAGCAGTTGCACACAAGCCCAAGAGCAATTTCCCTTGCTCTGCAGGCCTCCACCTCCCACTGAAAACCTGCTCTAGAAGGCAACTCAGGTTTTGAGGATGTACATGGAAGGCTGCACTAAGGCAAGGGGTTGCTCCCGCCTTCTGGTTCCATTGACAGAGGCCGTTCTGAAAGGGAAGGTCTTTGGATCCTACCCATCATATGTCAAAACTGTAATCCTATCTTCTGACATTTCTGTTTTAGTTTAAAGCAGCTGTGAGTGAGGAGAAGGGGCACCAGTTGGGATTAGACTGACACCAGGTAAAGAAGAACAATATTACCCTCCCAGATAATATTTTTAATGTGGTGAAAATATGGTGATATTTGTCCTTTTTTCCCCTCTGTGACAGAACAAACAACAGTTTTTGTGATTATGGTAATGACAATTATACAACTTGGGAAAAGGCCCCCCTCCACTTGCCACAGGCCAGTTCTTGAGTCAAAATGGACTTCACTGAAGTGGCTTGCTTTCTTTCTTTTTAATTAATAAAAAGGAAAGCTACAAATAACAAAACTAAACTAAAATACAAACTCAGTAGTGACTACATGGAATACACATTAAACATTTCCCACCTGTGCCACCTTCACTATTTGGACTAGTTAATCAATAATATCAATTTGTACCCCTTTTCACCCCATTCCTCTCCAAAAATACATTGATGCTTCTGCTGGCCTATAGCCTTTCCCCTTCTAAAATACATATTCCAAGTATCAATTCCATACATCTTTGAAATCATTAGACTTTACCATTCCTCTTCTTACTTTAATTTCACATGTTAACTTATCATTAATTGCTAAACTCCACATTTCTTTATACCAATCTTCAATATTAATTTGTTTGTTACTTTTCCAATTCTTTGCAAATATTAATCTTATTACCATAACCATTATAACAGCTAACTCTTTCTGATCTTTTTTCCAATGATCATTCTTAATTATGTTCAGGAGGGCAATAGGTGATGATGACTGAAGTTGCTTTCCATAAAAACTAGAAACACAATAACAATTAACCACAGATAATTTTTCATGTAGTGTGACATTTAAGCTGACGGAATTTTTATCCTCCTTATAAAAGTACAACATAG